ATTGCAAGATCTATCAAAATCAAGAAAAAAAAATTGGGGTTGCTATTTAAAAAAATTGTCAATGACGTCACTGCCCAAAAATGGGAAGTGGGGGAAAATCGAATTTTATTTAAAAAATTGCGCTTTAAGTAAACAAAATTGACCTGTTCGAGCATTTTTTCGAAAAACCAACTACTTCAATTATAATGAATTTATTCCTTTCATTTGAACCATACTGTATGTGTCGTTTCCGATAGAGATATTTTAAAATTGAGGAAGACTGGAGGCTAGACTGCAAAAAGGTAGGTATACTGTTTTTTTTTTTTTTTTTAAATTTATAGATAGAAATTGGTAGTTAAACCATGTTTTTATTTTGGGGAAATCCTCCTCTACCAATTTTTTTAAATTATTCCAGTCAGTAGCTTCGTAATGCATTACTGTGTCATCTGCAAAGCTAATAATATTTGCTTGACTTTCAACTAAAAAGAGATTCAAACGAATCATACACAAAATCTGTACCACATAAACAACTTTATTCAATTTTTTTTTTGATTAAGCGACTAGTTTCGGCCAACTGGCCATCTTCAGGCCTACAATATAAGAACTTATGTCTAAGGAGAAAAAACATACAGATCAACAATACTTACATTCATATATAAAATTATCTTCTACACCAGATTATTGACATTGGACAGAATGAGTTACAAGATTAATTAAAAGTATAGATGAAGATTATGTGGTAAACATAAGTAAAAAATAAATGTTATAAAGGTTTAAATATTGAAAATTAGGAATTAATTAACAAGTAATCACCGGTAAGGTGATCAGAAATGACGGGAGTGTGCGACATCCCTGTTAAAAAATTGAGAGGTGATCCAAAGTTATAGGAGTATGTGACATCCCTATTGAAAGAAAAAAGATTAACATGGTCAATTCTCAAATAATTATTTTTAACCAGATAAAGGTTAAAAGTTGAGTAAATTTAGTAAAATTAAGAGCAAAATTTGAAAATCTCAAAATTATGTCTTGCAAGAATAGACAAGATGGCGGAAACCGGAAATGAAAAAGTAAAATTAAGTAATGTCATATGTCAATGTCAACAATGGCGCTAACAATTTAAATTAAGGTGAACAATAAGTTTATTAAAAAACACAGAAATTTGTTTAAAAGGTAGCAATTAAATTGAAATAAAATAGAAATGATATGGATTAAACATAAGTAAGATATGCCAGAATATTAGAATAGAGATATCAGAGATGGACTAATTACTGGGTAAGTAAACAGGTGGTGCTGTAAAACTGATGAAACGAGGCCAATTAAATATTAGGTTAATGAAAAGAAGAAAAAAGAAGAAAAAGTGACAGTAGAAGTATGAATAGACAAGATGAGAAAAGTAAATAAATGAAATACAATTATGAGAATGTAAATATGACTATTAAAATTGCATAGGTCAAATATGTTTAGTAATTGTGAGGATTAAGAAAGATATAGTTTTCTTTTGTTTGTATCTGTTCGTTAAGGCAGTTGTAATCTTTATTATTGAGTGCTTTGTGGATTTCAGATAGCTCCAATAAGTTCATTCTAGTACCTTTTGTGCAGGGATGAATAAGGGAAACACTAGAAATAGAAAAATCATGGTTGGTTGAAAGTATATGGTTAGCAAAACTAGATTGAGTATTACAGATGTCCGTGCCTTTATACTTATTGATATGATGACAATGTTCGCGGAACCGTGTATCTAGTCTGCGGCCACTCTGACCTAAATAGATGGAATTGCAGGACAAGCAATTGATTTGGTAGATACCTGATTTATGAAGTGGAGGAACTAAATCTTTTGTATTAATAAACATATTACCAATGCTACTATTAGTTTTAAAGGCTACTCTAATGTTATGTTTTTTGAAAACGGTTGAAAACATATAGGAAATAGGACCAAAGAAATGTAGTGAGCCTATAAATGAAACAGGTTCCGTTTGTATTGTACTTATGTTGAAGCTAAGTTTGAATTTTGTGTATAGTTTGAAATAAATTTTTTTTTTTTTTTTTTTTTTTTTTTTTTTTTTTTTTTTTTTTTTAAATATCCACTCGAAGCCATAAAAAAAACGGAACCTGTTTCATTTATAGGCTCACTACATTTCTTTGGTCCTATTTCCTATATGTTTTCAACCGTTTTCAAAAAACATAACATTAGAGTAGCCTTTAAAACTAATAGTAGCATTGGTAATATGTTTATTAATACAAAAGATTTAGTTCCTCCACTTCATAAATCAGGTATCTACCAAATCAATTGCTTGTCCTGCAATTCCATCTATTTAGGTCAGAGTGGCCGCAGACTAGATACACGGTTCCGCGAACATTGTCATCATATCAATAAGTATAAAGGCACGGACATCTGTAATACTCAATCTAGTTTTGCTAACCATATACTTTCAACCAACCATGATTTTTCTATTTCTAGTGTTTCCCTTATTCATCCCTGCACAAAAGGTACTAGAATGAACTTATTGGAGCTATCTGAAATCCACAAAGCACTCAATAATAAAGATTACAACTGCCTTAACGAACAGATACAAACAAAAGAAAACTATATCTTTCTTAATCCTCACAATTACTAAACATATTTGACCTATGCAATTTTAATAGTCATATTTACATTCTCATAATTGTATTTCATTTATTTACTTTTCTCATCTTGTCTATTCATACTTCTACTGTCACTTTTTCTTCTTTTTTCTTCTTTTCATTAACCTAATATTTAATTGGCCTCGTTTCATCAGTTTTACAGCACCACCTGTTTACTTACCCAGTAATTAGTCCATCTCTGATATCTCTATTCTAATATTCTGGCATATCTTACTTATGTTTAATCCATATCATTTCTATTTTATTTCAATTTAATTGCTACCTTTTAAACAAATTTCTGTGTTTTTTAATAAACTTATTGTTCACCTTAATTTAAATTGTTAGCGCCATTGTTGACATTGACATATGACATTACTTAATTTTACTTTTTCATTTCCGGTTTCCGCCATCTTGTCTATTCTTGCAAGACATAATTTTGAGATTTTCAAATTTTGCTCTTAATTTTACTAAATTTACTCAACTTTTAACCTTTATCTGGTTAAAAATAATTATTTGAGAATTGACCATGTTAATCTTTTTTCTTTCAATAGGGATGTCACATACTCCTATAACTTTGGATCACCTCTCAATTTTTTAACAGGGATGTCGCACACTCCCGTCATTTCTGATCACCTTACCGGTGATTACTTGTTAATTAATTCCTAATTTTCAATATTTAAACCTTTATAACATTTATTTTTTACTTATGTTTACCACATAATCTTCATCTATACTTTTAATTAATCTTGTAACTCATTCTGTCCAATGTCAATAATCTGGTGTAGAAGATAATTTTATATATGAATGTAAGTATTGTTGATCTGTATGTTTTTTCTCCTTAGACATAAGTTCTTATATTGTAGGCCTGAAGATGGCCAGTTGGCCGAAACTAGTCGCTTAATCAAAAAAAATTGAATAAAGTTGTTTATGTGGTACAGATTTTGTGTATGATTCGTTTGAATAACTCGACCACATTTGAGAATATGGATAATCTTTCGTCACTAAAAAGAGATTGTTCATGTAAACTATAAAGAGTAGAGGCCTCAATACTGTTCCCTGAGGTACACGACATGAGACTATTTGATCGATGCTGGTGATATTGTGTATTTTGATTTTCTGTTTGTTAAGTAAGACTTCATTAATTTATTGGCTATACCCCTTATACCCATATCTTCAAGGGAATTTAATAAATCACAATGATTGACGGTATCGAAAACTTTAGGCAAGTCTAAAAAATACCTGTTGATGGTTTTTTATTGTCAATTGAACAGTAAATTTTATTAGTTAGTTGCCTTATTGCGTCCTCCGTTGAACTTCCCTTCCTTAATCCATATTGTCGTTTTGATAACAATTTGTTTTTTTTTTCAGGAAGCCACATATTTGATGTTTTATCACTTTTTCTAGAATTTTCCCTAGTGAAGAAATCAGGGCTATCGGTCTGTAGTAGTCTGTAGTATAGTTATAAGAACAGAAAAGAGAAGATACCATTGGGTAAACTCTTAGTTTTAAGCCTCTTAAGTATACTTAAACTTATAATAAAGACAAATTGTTGATTGGCTGAAATATAGCTAGGTACAATGCAAACTAACAAAAAACTGGCATCCTTCTATAAAATTGGATGAACTGAATTTTCTATATCTGAATATTCTACTATTTACGTTGGTGATTTTCTTGAGCTGAGTAGCTTCCGCTGTTTAAGATTTATTCCTTTTTACTCGTTGTTTCTTAAGTCTCATTATCGCTTTACTTAAAAGACACAATTTTAAGTCGTTGTCCGACGTTTCTAATTATAAATAATAATATTTGCCTATATTTTATTTTCGATCCGACGTGTGTACACAACTTTGCACCAAAATAAAATTGCGGGAACTGCATGGAGATTTTGGTTATTAGTTTTGGTTTTGATTTATGGTGCACATAAATCTCATAAAACGATGGCTCAATCAAATACTGCCAGAACTAAAATACTATTTTTTCGAGAAATTTCATTTTGTAATTTTGTCTCTATTATCATTATTTTGTTTTTGATATAAAATCTTTATATTTTGTTGTTAAAATTAACGATTATAAAAGCGAATTTTTGCATTGTTTGTAAAAAAAATTGGGTGTTTTTGCAGAAAATAACTCGAATTAAGGCAGTTTTAGACACAGTTTGTGGTAAGATTAAAATGATTTTCGGGCACCTTTAAGGATATTTTTGTTTGTGGCGGTATTTAAAGTAAAACATTAATGATATTTTGCATCCATTGAACCAAAAATGTAATTTTCTTTGTTTTTTGAGTTGTGGTGGTATTTGATTGAGCCATCAAAATAAGTACAGCATTTATTTATCATTTAAAGAAGGGAGCGTAGTGTATAATTAAATGTCGCAACAGTAATTTGCTGGTCCAATAACTTACCTGGCTGTTTACTTGCATCCTTATTATTCTTCATGTCTATCAACAACTGTAGAAAATCGTGTCTCTGAACATTATTTTTTTCTCTATAATTAACAGTATCGATTACCACTTTAGTGAAAAACTTCGTAACTTCAGGATCCAATAGTTTCAATTTTAGTAGACGGCCTATTGAAGGAAAATTTGACACTAATAAGAATTTTAAATTGCCAACTGGTGATCTAAGAAAAATTTTTCTGCCCATTAGTCTAAACGGGTTATTTGGGTCTGTAAAACTGTTGATTTCTAAACCAAAAGCACATGATCCGATAATATCTGTAGCAAAGTTTCCTAAAAAAATTTTTAGTACAGTGTAAAAAACCTTCAAAAAAATATTATATTTTTTAATATTTCACTGTAAATAATAACAATTTCTCTTTAGGGTAACTTTTAGACTTTATATACCGGGTGTTCAAATTAAAGTGTTACAGTTAAATATCGCCGAAAATATGCATTTTAGAAAAAAAAGTTTCAGACAAAAGTTTTATAGTTTTTTGGGGGAAACATTTAGGCCAAATTAATTTTTTTATAGCTGACCATAATATGGCCATATCGAGGTGGACTTTGTTTTTTTAAATGGGAATCCCATATTTTTTTTACATATTCTTAAAGTACATAAAAAAATAAGAAATTTTTGATGAAAATATTTTTTTATTGGACTTTTACTTTTTGAGTAACAACCACTTGAAAATTTTGTTAGGCGAAAAAAAAGTTGACCATATTATGGTTAGCTATAAAAAACGATTTTAGCCAAAAAAATTTCGCTACAAAACTATAAAACTTTCGTCTGAAACGTTCTTTTTATAAAAGGCGGTATATAGCCGTAACACTTTAATTTGAACACCCGGTATACAGGGTGTCTGTAAAAGGTCTTTACAAAAACATACCACATATTCCTTAGACCAAAATATTTAAGTAACATTACCTTAGTACAAAGTTGCTTCGTTTGGGCTCCAGAGGGCCTTGAAGTTACAATTTTTAAATCGTTTTTCCCATATAAATTTAAAACGGCATGTGCGATTTTGTTAAAATTTGGTACATTGGTAGAGTTTTATGTGGCAAAAAAAATGGTATTAAAATTTTGTCGTATAATAATACATAGGCGTAGAACTTGATTTTTTAAATAATTGCACCTTTCAAAATTCTACGCCAATGGAAGAAAAGGAGTTTGAGCATGAAATTTAAATTGCACAACTCATTTACTTTAAAAAAGGTACTCTTGATTAGACTCGATTACTCTCATGGTTTTCGCTAAATTTCTGTTTTAATAATTTAGAGTGTATAGGTTTCACAAAAATATTTATTTACAACATAATCAAAATAGAGATTTTACAAAAATTGTTCAAAATGTTCACCATTTTCACGCATACAAAGATTTATACGTCGAGGAAAATTAAAATGTATCCTTTCCATATCTTCTTCTAAGATTGTTTATTGCATCTTGAATACGTTGCCAAAGTTGTTCCTCATTTTCTACAGGTTCCCTGTAAACTGTGGATTTCAGATGTCCCCATAAAAAGTAATTCATCGGTGTTAGGTCTGGGGAACGTGGTGGCCAGTTTACAGGTGCGTCATTATCTCTGCCTATCCATTTGTGTGGATATTGTTCATTCAAGTGGTTTCTAACGTTTAAAGAAAAATGTGGTGGAGCTCCATCTTGCATAAACCACATATCCGTCCGAAGTTGGAGAGGTAAATCTTTTAACAATTCTGGCAACGTATTTTGTAGAAAATCCAAATAATTTTCTCAAGTTAATCTTCGTGGAAGTATGACAGGATCAACAATGAAATTACCAATTATTGCAGCCCACACATTAATTTTGAATTCGTGCTGAAAATGGTTTACCTTAATTGCATGCGGATTTTCAACGGCATAAACATGTTCAATATGGGTATTAGTTATATCTCTTCTTGTAAAACCCGCTTCATCGGTAAAGAGAACCTTCTTGACAAAGGTTGGATCTCTTTCTCTTTGTATATTAACAAATCGACAAAAACCCAAACGAATTTGAGGATCATGGACTAATAATTCTTGTGGTATGGATATAGCAATTTTTCTCTAAGCACTTTATGAACGACATCTTTACTTATTCCTAGTTCCCTTCCAATTCGTTTGGTGCTTAATTCTGGATCTTCTTCAAGACGTTCTAAAATGTCTTCTTCAACTTCAGGAATCCTTACGAAACGTTCTCTTCCATTATCAACAGTGTTGGGAGCAAAGGAACCGGTCTCTCGAAGACGTCTCTCAACAGCAGCAAAAGTTGGGTGGCTAGGTACACGACGATTAGGAAACCTTTTAGAGTAAACCCTGACACTCTCTCGAGCATTTACTTCACAAAATCCTAATGTCAGTAACATATCGGTATATTCTGCATTGGTATATTGTACAGCCATATTAATAAACCACGCATTTGTTTTTTAATTATTGAGTCAGATAGAACACTTTCAATCGTTAACAAGAGATTGGGGTCTATTCTGTAACAATTCCTTTATATTTAACGGCCTTTAAAAATATTGGCGGCCTATAAAAATATGTTCGTATTCGTTAATTTACTTCTGTCATTATTTAAACAGATTTCTTTAAGATAGTCATCTAATGTATTTTAAAGATCCGTTTAAATAATGACAGAAGTAAGGAAGAAAATAGTTTTAAAGGCCATTAAAAATAAAGGAATTGTTACAGAATAGACCCCTAAAGGTGTTAAAACTTGACAATATTTTTATTTAGATGAAACTATGGAAACCAACAATAAATGTTTTTGTATACGTATTGCAGGCAAATAATTAATATTCCTCAAAAAATCGTACATGACAAGAATCGGGTATTTTTGTTAAAAGTCTTGATTAGAGGTGTTGAAGAAGATATAAAAAAAGTACATTTTTATGTTTTTCATCGTATAAAATTTTGTGCGATAATAATACATAGGCGTAGAACTTGATTTTTTAAATAATTGCATCTATACAAATTCTACGCCAATGGCAAAAAAGGGGTTTGAGTATGAAATTTGGATTGGGTACTCATTTACTACAAAAAAGTACCCTTGATAACACTCGATTTACTCTCATGGTTTTGACAAAGTTTGTATTTTAATAATTATTGTTTATGTTCTAAAATTACTAAAATTCAAATTTCGTCAAAACCATGAGAGTAATCGAGTCTTATCAAGAGTACCTTTTTTAAAGTAAATGAGTTGCGCAAATTTTATACTCAAACTCCTTTTCTTCCATTGGCGTAGAATTTTTAAAGGTGCAATTATTTAAAAAATCAAGTTCTACGCCTATGTATTATTATCGGACAAAATTTTAAAACCATTTTTTTTGCCACATAAAACTCTACCAATATACCAAATTTCAGCAAAATCGCATATGCCGTTTTAAATTTATAGGGAAAAACGATTTAGGTGGGTTGGCTCAGTGGTTAGAGTCATGACTCTGAGATCGGAAGGTCTCAGGATCGAATCCCACCGGTGGCAGGAATTTTTATTTAATTTAAAAAATTAAATATTAATTCTAATGCATAGGTAGGATTCCCCACTCGACCATTCACTGTTGGGTTCTAATTAACAGTGCTGTTCCTAAAGTGGCGCTGGGAAACAGTAACAAAGCCTACACAGAACACGAGGCTAATGGCCGTAGTAGTCGACGCCGATGACACCAAATTAAAAAAAAAAAAAAAAAAAAAAACGATTTAAAAATTGTAACTTCAAGGCCCTCTGGAGCCCAAACGAAGCAATTTTGTACTAAGGTAATTTTACTTAAATCGACTTATTTTGGTCTAAGGAATATGTGGTATGTTTTTGTAAAGACTTTTTATAACAAAAATTAAACAGATTTTTGTCCTACAGCGATGCTAGGCATAAAAGATTTATTCGACACTAGCTTTCAGCATATTTGCTCGAAGGATACTGTGCGCTAAATCTACACAGTCGTTTAGCAGTAATATAATTAAAGGCACCATTTTTTTCTAACCTAGCATAAATGAAGACAGAATTTGTTTTTTTTTTTTAATTTTACGGACATAAGTATGGAAAGTGTCAGAAATATCCTGTATCTCTCCTATTGTTTTATATCATATACCTGTTAGGGACGTACCAATTGATAATAAGATGATCTGTTGCTTTTGTCTTATAGCAAAAATAGTTCTAAGCCTTACCTAATATATCTTTAATATCAAAGGGTTCGTGATACGATATTTCCTTTAAAATATATTGTTCCAGTTTGACGCCACAGTCTGCAATGGTTTCAAACATATGCCTCATCTTTCCTGAAGTGAATGTTGGTGTAAATTTAGTTCGCAAATTTCTCCATTTTTTGCCGCCAAGGAAAAATATATGTCCAGCTAAAAAAAATGATACTTATTAAAAAAATATATCATTTAGCTTTTATTACTTGCTTATCGGTTCAACTTTTTCATTTACGATGAGCCCTCTATCAACAAAGTGATTAAAGTCTTTGGTTAATATGCATTTTAAAGTTTCTAAATCAGTTGTCATGAATATGGGGCCATTCAAGATATAAAATCCTAGGTGTTTCCATCCTAAAATTAGAAGAAAATTTGTTATTGTACAGAAATTTATTGTAATAAGGTTTTTAAGGTATTTAAAAAAAAATATAATGCTGGCCACTCGAACTTACACATAGATTTTTTGCATGACTTTATTGATCACCCCGTATATAATAAACCTATGGTCCTACGATAAAAATACGTCATGCAACTTAATCCGAAAAAAACTAACTCTTAAAATCTGCATGTCCGTTTAAAAATTCGCATTTCTTTTGAAAATATTGAACTTTAAATGTTGTCTAAACATCTCTATGTAAGTTTGAGTTGCCAGCAGTTTATATCACATTCACTTAAGAAATTTCCAGATTTCTACGTCAAACATTTTGTGCTTACCTTTTTTTTTAGCATCCCTGTAAATCCGGGCAACTTCATCCCCGATCGGTTCAGTTCTTTTATGTGGAGGAACAAGAGATCCCCACGGGATTATCGGTTCGACATATGGAACATTTTTGCTTTTCCAATAATTAAACGCTCGTTTGAAGTAAAGTATAAGTATGAAAATAACTACAATTACCAACCCCACTAAGTCAAATATTATGTTACTAGTTATTATCGCCATAATTTTTTATCTGTAAAAATATTTTTAGTCATTATTATTATTCAAAAGAAAAGACTTGTATTTCTTGCAAATTTTTTTAAATTATTAAATTCAAAGCGCTTTCGGCATGGTGCCATCATCAGTGCTTATCTACAAAAATTGTGTGTACACCTACAATTTATAAATATGTGTTAGCAGGTAAACAAATTTTGTGTGAGTACATTGTAATATAATGTAAAGAACATTGGTAGTCAAGAATGGGGGGTGCGGGAAGTGATGGCGCTAGTAGCGAACCTTCGACTGTACTCTCCCGGGCAAAACGAAATGATGGGTCGCCTTGAGTGCTATAGTAAGGTCAGGCTGTTAGTTGATGCTCACGAATTGTTCTATTTGACCTAATTATTGAAAATTGTTATTATCAGAGGTGGGATTCGCTCACTAAAAGTGCCAAGGAAGTGCCTGGGGGTTGACTGTTCCTGTATTTCCAAGATTATTGATTCGTTACATTTATCAGTTGATTATTGATTGTTTGAGATTGTTATTGGCGATATTGGTGGTATTCACTTGAAACACCGTCATCCTGTAGGGATAAATAATTGTATATTTATAATTCAACTAGCTGATAGATACCAAAGAGAAATGTAGAATGGCAAAAACATCCAATTGTAATTTAGAACACCGATAACGTTAAAAAGGTGCACGCAACATAACTTTTAAAAATTGTAACGGTTACTCTTCTAGTACCGTTATTTTAATATTTTATAACTATATTTTTAAAATGATTGTCCCATCTCTATTAGGATCATTAGTTTCATTCTGTCGCTACAAATATTTTATAGTTATTTTTGGTTTTATAAGTTGTATGTTCGGATCGAAAGTGAATTTGACTTTCGACAGGTATTACTGGTAAAAGTCCTTTTACCACAATACCTCAGAACGAGGCAGTCGAGATTATTAAATCTGCTAATATTTAATTAATCTTAAACAGTATGTGGTATTTTTATTAGTGGTGACAACCATCAGTATTTTATGGTGAGTAAAAGATTAATATCTCTCAAGTAATTTTTAATTTAGATTGTTAAATTATTTAAATCATTTTCATCGCAGTGATATAAATATTATCGTAGGAGATTTAAACATGAATATTTTAGACAGTAGCGACTGTATCGAAGAATATAAAAATATATTAAGTTCTCAGGGCTTTATATCATATATCAATGAATACACACGTTTACCAAGTAAAACTTGTTTGGACCCATTTTGGATACAAACTAGGGCTAACTCAGAAACTGGAAATATAAAATCATTTATATTTAGGTACTATATAACAGACCACTGCCCAATAGGTCTCACATTTAGCACAGATAAAGTAAGTATCAAAGAGCCTTCACAAAATATTAAACGATATATTAATTATAAAAATTTAAAGCAAGAATTAATAAATGAATCTTGGAATGAACTTTATAATGAAATGAATCCAGATATCATGTGTGAAAACTTTATTGCTAAACTAAAATCTTTTATAAATAAAAATACAAACATAGTCTTAATAAAAAACGAAAGATATTAATAAAAAAAATGGCTGACACCAGGTTTGCTAAAAAGTATTAAAAAGAAGCAGACAATGTACAAATATAGCTTAAAACATCCAGATAATATAGAATTAAAAGAACAATACAAAAACTATAATAGTCGATTAAATAATATAATTAAAAAAGTCAAGAGAACATATTTTTCTCGACAAATTGAAACTAATAAAAATACATCTAAAGCCGTTTGGGAATGCGTAAAAGATATTTGAGGTAAACAAAAGCAAAATAAAAACATTGAGGAAATTAAGCTTTTAGACGGAAAAACAGTAAAAAAAAAACGGATGAAATTGTAAATCACTTTAATAATTTAGTACAATTGGAGAAAATTTAGCTGACAGAATACCAGATCTGAATAATTATGAAGATAATTTAGATTTTTTGGAAAATACTATGTATCTATTTCCAACAGACACATCGGAGGTCTTAGAAATAATAAATAATCTAAAAAATAAAAAATCTCCAGGTTTGGATAAAATTCGTGCAGATACTTTAAAACAAATTGCTTACGAAATTGTTGAACCATTGACCTTTCTAATAAATAAATGTTTAGATACAGGGTGTTTTCCTAAGATTTTAAAATGTGCTATAGTCAAACCGCTATTTAAAAATGGAAATAAAAATGAATTAGGAAATTATCGACCAATATCGCTATTATCAACTATTTCAAAAATAATTGAAAAAATTTTAAAAATACGCCTTTGCAAATTTCTAAACAAATTTCGTATATTATCTGATCGTCAATTTGGTTTCAGGGAGGGTCGATCAACTGAGGATGCCATTTATAAACTAACACCAACAATTTATAACTCTTTGGATAAAAAGTACCCATTTTATGTATATTTCTAGATCTCTCCAAAGCCTTCGACACTGTGTTGCAAAATTATGGATTTAGGGGTAAATCATATAACATTTTTGAAAGTTATTTATCAAATAGGCAGCAGCTCGTTCAAATTGGAGATACTAGAAGTGATTCACAAACACTAACTGTTGGAGTTCCTCAGGGAACCGTGTTAGGCCCGATCCTTTTTTCTATATACATAAATAGCCTTCTCAAATTGGAATCACTTGGCCAAATTTTTAGCTTCGCGGATGATACGGCTGTCATATACACTTCGTCTTCTTGGGATAACCTAAAACAAAAAGTTGAAAGTGACTTTCCACGAATAGCAAATTGGCTTCAATATAATAAACTTACAATAAACTATACAAAAACAAGCTACTTACCGTTTAGCTCCTATACTAGTGGTCTCCCTTCCATGGGATCTTCAAAAGTAGGCCTAGATATAGAAATCCCTGAATCCTCTTCAGTAAAATATCTTGGAATTCTTATAGGTGGGATTTACATACCAAGCAACTTATTAAAAAAATAAGAGGATTATTGCCCAAATTCAGGTATTTAAAAGATTTTTTAAATGTTCATGCTCTAAAAAGAATGTATTTCTTTTTGGTACAGTCGTTATTAGTCTATGGTATTATAGGTTGGGGAGGAATACACAATAACTTTCTGAATGATGTTCATGTGGTGCAAAAATGGATTTTGCGTATTATCTATAACAAAGATATTCAATATTCTAGTAACTCCTTGTACAAGGAATTAAAAGTTTTTGATTTAAGACAATTATATTTTTTTTAAATTCTTCAATTTATAAAAACAAAAAAAATTGTTTTGACATCACATGAACATCAGTATAATACACGACGAGTAGAATCTGTTTATTTTCCTCGTAGTGAAAAATCTATAGGACAACGTACATGCAATTATCTTGCACCAAGAATGTATATTTTAGTCCCAGAAGAGATACGAAATATACCGTCTTATAATGTATTCAAAAAACATCTAAGAAATTGGATTCTTCAAGAAGACCGAGAAGAATTTAGTAATGTTATAAATAATTACCTATCGTAAACTATTATATTCATTATCCATACTTTTAATAACTGCACTGATTTTCCGATTAATTTCTTTAATTTCCTAAAATTTGTAATTTACTCACCCAATAATAGGACTTGTTCTTCTGATTACGACCTATTACGACCTATTTTTCGATTATGTCCTCTATCTCGATTATGTCCTCTATCTCGATTATGTCCTCTATCTCGATTATATCCTCTATCTCGATTACGACCTTTCTCTTGAGTGTAACTAATTCCCGATTTTGACCCTTTTCCCAATTATGACCATTTCCAAGTATTACAATATATAAATAATTTTATTTTATTTTTAACATTTTGTCTAAGATACAAAGAAACTGATCCATTGGGCTTATTCATTATTTATTAGGTCATATTATTATAGAATGAATTTTTGATTTAATTTTTTAGTAATACCTACCACGTACAAGCTGTCCATAACAGCTTCTGTGTAGTTCATGTTTATTTTGCTTATCTTTAAATGACATTTTTTATACATTGTATTTGTTTTATGTGAATAAACAACATTATTATTATTATTATCATTATAATATTTACAAGATTTCTGCAAAGATTAACCAAATGGATCGGGATTTATTTAGTTGTTAAAAATGTGAGGTTAGATGTTTTAGAACGTGTCATTAATTTCTGTAAAGATCTATTTTTTTATTCATTCTGTGTTTAGAAACATCTTACCTCCTTATTCCTTATTTTTCCTTATTACGTAAACTTCAAAAAGGTCTCAATCTTTTAGATAAGTCAACCTTTGGATGGTTTAAACATACGCTGAGAAAATAGTTGAAAATATGGTTAAAAGATAGTTGAAGTTATGGTTAAAAATATGTTAATTTATGGTTAGAAGAAATATGAAGTTATGGTAACAACATGTTAATTTATGGTTAAAAGAAAACGCATCGCTGTAGGAGACCGTCCTTATTTGATCGACCCTTAAAGCAAGATTGAAGACCTAACACCATTCCTACTCTAAGATAAGTTTCATTTTTTTATCATTGAACTTAAATAAAGAAGTAATTTAAATGAATCATGGCTTGTGTAGATTGTAATTGTTACTTGCCTGCATAAACATATTATACATTCTTGTTTCAACATCAGTCATATTAATTATATTTGCCAAACTATTATACAGCTTAAATGATATGTTTATGTAAGTTTGGTGGCGCCCTCCTTCCCTTTCCTATAGTTAAGTTTTGTCAAGGTTATTAAGTGCTACTCACGGCCCTAATTAAAATTGAGCTAAAACACGGTAAGTAAAACCAACATCACATGTTGCACCACGCGATGGCAGGTGGTAAGCATTTCGTGACTAGTAGAGTGTTTCTTGTGTTTACTACAGGATACAGGATCCTCTGATGAATCTACTTCAGAGGATGATTGCAGCAGTAGGAGTATTATAGAATTGCTTAGTTACTCTGAAAGAGATTCATAAAAAAAATGTTCCACCCTGCTTACCTATAGAGTTATTAATATAATTTTCCAGTTAATTAAAAGGATAATATG